GATCATACATTGCAGATGAATTCATCTTTCTTAAGCTTGATTAGTGCTCATCAATTCACTGGATTGGATCATGAAGACCCTTATATTCATTTGTCTACTTTTTATGAGTTGATTGGTACCATGGGATTTAGAGCAGCAAATCTTGAATCTGCATATTTGATATTATTTCCTTTTTCTTTGGCAGGTAGGGCAAAGGAGTGGCTAAAAACACATCCTAATCAAAGTTTGACTAATTGGAGTAGTGTAAAAGAAAAGTTTCTGAATATATTTTTCCCACCATCCCGCTACATCAAAGCAAAATCTGACATCACTTCTTTCAGACAAGGAGCAGATGAACAATTTTGTGAAGCATGGGAGAAATTTAAATTACTGTTGAGAAGATACCAAAATCATGGATTTGATGACGTTGCTCAGTTGAATATTTTCTATACTGGGTTGCGACATGATGTAAAGATGTTATTAGAGGCTGCAGCAGGAGGATCCATGTTGGATGTAGAAATTGATCATGCCACAAGAATTATTGATGCACTAGCTTTTACAGACCAACAGGCTCAACATGATAGACATCCAATTCAAAGGAAGGGAGTACTTAAACTTAACACCACATATGCTCTCTTAGCCCTGAATAAAATTTTGACCCAACAAATTGAAGCATTGAACTAGAAAATAGAGAAATTACCTCAACAAATGCACACAGTACAATCTATTCTTAATCAACATATGAGTTGTGACATGTGTGGAGGTGATCATTCAAATGAACAATGTTCTTATCAAGGCAACATTCAGCAAGAAGAAGCTAATTATATGGGGGCCCAAGGTAGTAGTCAAGGCAGACAATGCAATTTTCCTAATCCCAATAATTATCAAAATAATTTTGCACAAGGATGGAGAGGGAATCAAAATCAGAATCAGAATTTTAGGTGGAATCAAAATGTTAGCTCATCTACTAGACAACCTGTATTTCAACAACAGTCATATTAGTAACCTCCATATCAACAACAGCAACAACATTATCCTTCAGTGCCTGACAGAATAAGTAAATTGGAGGATACTTTAGAAAAATTCATGCAAGACACTATGGCTAATCAGAAAAATACTGAGGCAACTGTAGAAAAATTCATGCAAAACACTATGGCTAATCAGAAAAATAATGAGGCTTCATTCAGAAATATAGAGACCCAGATAGGCCAACTGGCTAAGCAATTATCTGAACAGCAACAAGGAGGACATTTTTCAACTAACACACAAACCAACCCCAAGGAGCAATGCAATTCAATAACTACAAGGAGTGGAAAAGTTGTAGGTAAGGGGATTGGTGACAATATAGTTGTTGAAGAAGAAGTTTGGGTAAAAGAAGATGAAGAGCAAGAAGAGGAGAATAATAGAGAAAGACATATCCCTAATAAGAAGAACGAAGAGGGAGAGAAAAAACAAAAGATAGAAAAAGGAGGGAGTCAAAAACCATTTGTAGAGAAGTTACCATATCCAAAGGTTCCCTCACAGATAGATAAAGAAAGACAATTTGCAAGATTCATGGATATTTTCAAGCATTTACAAATCAATATTCCATTTATGGAAGCTATGGAGCAGATGCCGACTTATGCAAAATTCATGAAAGAGTTGTTAACTAAGAAAAAGAGATTTATTGCTTCTAGCTAGAAGCAGGATGCAACGTTATAATTCAGAAATCATTGCCTCAAAAGTCCAAGGATCCTGGTAGTTTCACTATACCAGTCACAATTGGGATATTACAAGTAAGTAAGACATTACTCGATTTGAGTGCTAGTATAAATCTAATGCCTTTGTCTATGCTTAAAAGAATAGGAGACTTGGAAGTAAAACCTACAAGAATGACATTGCAGCTAGCTGACAGATCTGTAAAGATTCCTTATGGAGTAGCAGAAGATGTTTTATTTAGAGTGGATAAATTCATATTTCCTGTTGATTTTGTGATTATGAACATGGAGGAAAATGTTGATTTTGTGATTATGAACATGGAGGAAAATGAGGAAGTTCCATTGATCCTGGGAAGACCATTTATGAAGACTGCCAAAGTAATTATAGATGTTGACATGGGCAAGTTGAAAATTAGAAGTGGAGATGATGAAGTTAATTTTAATCTGTTTGAAGCTGTACAACAACCGGAAGACAAGAAAGATTGCCTCAGAATAGATACTTTGGAGGAATTACCCATATCAACTGAAAAACAAGATTACAAGCATGTTGCACAACCCCAAAGACATCTCAATCTGACTATGAAGGAAATTGTTCAAAGAGAGGTACTGAAACCTCCTGAAGCAGGTATGATTTATCCAATCTCTGACAGTCGTAAGTTATTCGCAATGAAAAGAATAAATTCATTCTCACAAGGACAGTAAAGGGATGGAGAATGCATATATATCACCTTGATCACTCACCTGCATGAGCCCTAAAGCAAATAGGCGTTGAGTTGAAGACGTTAAACAAGCACTCATGGGAGGCAACCCAATGTTTTGAATTTTTTTTTCTTTTTGCAATTTAAGTTTTTTTTGTGCATTTTTCTTCCTTAGGTTCTTTCTTTACAAGATTTCTCCAGGTACATAGTGAACTTCTCCTCAAGACTTTGAAGCCTTACTTCAATGGTTTGGGGATAGTCCAACTTTTCTGGAGGGGGTGAGAAAGTCTGCAGTTGAGGATGAGGCACAAGATAAGGAGGAGATGACAAGTGAAGAAAATGAGGGAGGAAACTTACTTTGTTTTTAATTCCTTTGTTTTTAACTTAATATTTTTAATTGCTTTATTTAAACTTTTGAATTCCCTTATTGTCCCATAATTTGTTTTAGAGTCATATATGAGATTATTGTTTATTATCTAATTCAAATGTAGAACGTAAAAAATCATTTTGATTGTTTCCAATAACAAGTGATTTTGGGATGATGAGTATGATAGTGAAAAGGAATTGATGAGGAGAATTATGAATTAATTGAATTGGAGAAGCTAGCCAAAACCCAGGTGAGTAGAGTACCAAAAACAGATAAATTGAGTGTCAACACTTTATGATTGATAACTGATATTGGTTGATTCTTTGATGTGATTACATGTTGGCAAGCTTGAAAATGATAAAGGCAATTTTTTCTTTGTAGTACATATAACTCAGAGCCAAATAGTCAACCCGACATTAATTTTAGGACATCCATTTGAACCCCTTCGAGCCAAAAATAATATTGTTTCTTAAACAGAACCCTTAAGTCTAAATACTATTTATCTACCTTCTTATATTTGAGAAAGGAAATGAGTATGAATGTCACTATTTTTCTTATTGTTGGGTATTTTTATTGTTGTCCTAAATGTATTATTGTTAAAAAAAAGTGTAAAGGAAAAAGAAAAGCAAAGCTTAAAAATTATGGCAAGACCAAAAAAGATACATGCAAAAGCATGAGAAAAGAAAAAAAAAAGAGTCAAAAGGGGGGAATAATAACTTGTGAGATTATTAACTCACTATCATTATGTTAGGGACAAAAGCATGAAGTCTGAAACCCGACTTGAGGAATCAACATTTATTAGGTTTTCTTATGAATTTCATGTGTGAGGAATCAACATGGATGATTTGAGTAGGTGGCATCAACATTGTTAGGTTAATTGACGTTCTTAATTGACATAGCCATTACAAAAGAGGGATAAGGAAGGAAGTCAATCCTAAGTGCCTTTAATTGATATTTTCTCAATAATTTACAGTTCTTTGTCATTTAATTTCAATTCAACTCTTATTTGCAAAACTCAATCTGTTTAATATACTTAGTAAGCATAATTGGGAATTTTCATTGAAATTGTTCCTCGTGGGATCGATTTTTATTTAATCGAAATACTATACTGCGATTGATAATTTTGGTACGCTTGCCAATAATTCAATATTTACATAATCACACACTTTTATTGATGCTCACAACGTTCTTTCTAATTGCTTTAATCATTTCTAAAAGATGTCTTTTATAGAAGAAAATTTTCATCTTTTATAAAAGTAAAAATATGTTATAACTGATTCAAATAATCGATTAGCAGAACATTTAATCGATTATTTATGTGTAGTGACAGACTAAAAATAAGTCATGTGATCAATTAGGTATCAACATAATCGATTATTAACACGTTGTGTCAAACCAGAGATTTAGTTACATAATTGATTAAACGACCACACAATCGATTATTAACATGTATTATGAAAATATAATTTTAAGTCATATAATTGATTAAGTACTTATCTAATTGATTAATACATACTTAGTTTTAATATAATTGATCATTTTTACCTTTTTTATTTTAACAAAGATTATATCATTTGACTTTACACAAACTACTCACATAACTACTTAGCTATCTTATAAGGACATCATTAAAAAGTGATTTTTCAATTAATCTTCCTTCTTCATTATCAACTAAAGGATGTTGAAGAAGAACTATACCCTAGTTGTGAAAAATGCTCAAAGTTATCATTTATTGTTCAATTATAAAATATCAAATGTCTCTTTGGTTTGAGTGCAAAAATAATTGATGTCTTACTTGCTTTGTTAGTAAAAGTATTTCCAGAAGAGAATAAAGTTCCTAGGACTTATTTTGAGACTCAAAAAGTTATTAGTGAACTTGGGCATGAATAAATAAAAATTGATGTTTGTGGTAATACTTGTTAAAAGCTTACATTGCATAAGAGTGTGTGCATTTTTGTTCAAGGTATTTGCATGGGTTGAAACAAGATTGAATAGATACAGAATAAATTATAAAGGTGATTTAGATCGGATAAATAAATCAAAGTTGAAATTTTTTTTAAAAGTTGGAAAACCATTACATGGGGAAAAAATATGTTGAGCTAAATATAGTAGAATAAGAGCAAACAAGAATTTATATTCTTAAAACTTGTGATGAAGTCTCACCTTTTATTTTGTAAGTGATTTTCTTAAATTAAATATTTATAGTGTTATTGTTATTGTAAAACTATAATTTATTGTATTCTTGTATTTTATGATCAGGTTACACAAACAAGAATTGGAAAAAAGCAAATTCACAAAATGTGGAACAAAGACATAAAAAATCATTCTTTCAATGTTTCAAAAAATATGTACTTATGTTTCTTCTTCTTCTCTTTTTTACTATCATTATATAACTTACAAAATATTTACATTATATTTTATATTGAATAGGTTACACTTTTGAAAAAAGAAGAGGATAAAAGTATAAACGAATCATTATTTTGCTTGGCTTATAGACCTGATACACGTGTTTTTTGATACACAAGTTATTTGATAGATAGTTGGAGGTTTAATACAAAGGATCATAATATGCACTTGAAATCACAAAATAGTGGAGTTTTAGTTATAAGTGACGAGAATATAGGTAATCTTGATTACTTTGGTGTCTTAAGAGGTATTATTGAATTAAGTTACTCAAGTAGAAACAATATTTTTTATTTAAATGTGATTGTTAGGATGTGTTCCAAAGGGAGACGATACATTGAAGATAAATATGAATTTATTCTCATTAATAGTAATCATAAATTGATGACTAATGAATCATATGTTCTAGTAAAACCAAAACATCCAGACTTATACAATATGCCCGAGTAAGTTATACATGAGGTGTGTCTAAAAAATAATAATAATATTGGTTGTATCTTTTTTACTTCTAATGATGTAAGACAATAAATATGTGTTATCTTTAGATAGAAATGATTTAGCTTAATGAATGACTAACAAAAATCTAGTGGTTTGTAGGAAAGTTATTGATGAAGAGTCGACATATATCAAAAATATTGATTTAATAGATGAAAAAACAACGATAATATTAATGAAGATGATAATGATTATAATTAATTAATTTTAATTATTTGAGTTATATTTTTATTATTATTATTATTATTATTATTATTATTATTATTATTATTATTATTATTATTATATATTAGTGCAATAGTTTTATTGAATTATATATATGAATTTATGATATTTTATTATTATATAAATAAATTAAAATTCTAATGATAAATGATATATTATTATTAATTAATATTTTATAATATTATTAACAGAATATTTTCTTAATATAAAAATAAATAATTCTTTTATAATTCCTTTTAATACAATAAAATTAAATAATAATAGCAATATTAAATTAAAACTTTATTTTTATAATATTAAACATTGGTATATTAAATAAGTATCAAAATAGTTTTTTTTAGTAAAAGTAACAGAAAGTAAGTAAATATTTTTTATATCATTTTTATTATTTCATTCTATTTTATATATATATATATATATATATATATATATATATATATATATTATCACTTTTTTTTATATGTTAAACAAACGTTGAAAAAATATATATTAAATATATTAGTTAAAAAAATATATAATAAAATATATTTTATATTTAAATATTATTTATTGAAGTGAATAATAATATAGATATATTTTATTTTAAAAAAATTCTTTTTATTGAATATAAACTTTTTCTCACTTTTTTTAAATAAATTATTAATATAGAATATATATATATATATATATATATATAAATATAAGTATATATTTTATTTGAAAAATATATTTAAAATAATTTTGTATGATAAAAAAATAATTTTAAACTATATTGAATTTATATTTATTAGTTTTCGAAAAAAAAGTTGTTTCATTGTTAATGTAATCAATATAATAATAATATAACTTTTTATTTAAAAAAAACATATAAAAATCTTGAACATAATTAAGATAAAAAAATATTAGATCATATAAAATATTCGGAGAAAATATTATAACTTACATTGTATTAAAAGTTAATAATTATTGTTATTTATTTAAAAAATAATATAAAAATCTTTAATATAAAAAGTTAAATATAAAACTAAATTAATTCAATCAGAATTAAAAAAAAAATTGTGAAAAAATAATATAGAGATATACGATATGTGAATAAAAAAAAACATTTCAATTGAACATATCTATTTTATAGATTATTAGAAAAACTTCTTTAATCTTGTTGTAATTAATTTTACTTAATATAAAAAAATTATTATATAAAAAGTCATGATTATTTTTTTACTTGATTATTCTTTGAAAAAATAATAATAAAATTTAATAACACCTCTTAACCAATTATTTTAAAATAACATAAGTCAATAAAAAATAACAAGAATTGGATCAAATTAAATAATATGTTTTTATTAAATATAAAATTCAAATAATTCTAATTAATTTTAAATATTGTTATATTTCATCTTATTTGTTTGTTAAAGATAAAAATAAGCTAACTTAATAATAATAATAATAATGAATAACATTAATAATAATTATTTTTTCCCTTAAAAATATGGTTAAAAGTTTAATCCAAAATGTTTATATTTTTATATTATTTAAATAATTTTTCAATTTTAATATTAAAATTGTTAACTTAATTAAATATAAAATTAAGGTGAAAGATTTTGTTTCTTATTTATTGAAATATAATTTTGAATTTAAGAATTACAAATACTATGATTTATTAAAGATATAAAACTAACCTAAACTCAAAACCATGTATACTTGGTAATTAGTTTTATGTTTTATAAGTAAATTTTCAAGGTTTCAAATAAGAACATCAACAATTTTAGTTTATTTATTTAAATAATTAATTTTATAACTAATTATTTGTGACATTCATGATTTTATATTTTTAATGAAATTTTGATAATAATTTTTAGTTTAATCATTATTTAAAATAATATTTATAATGAATATATATTTTTATTATTTTGTTATGAATTAGAGTGATAATTTTTAATTTAATTACTAATGTGTGAATAATATTTGTGACATTTATATTGTTTTTGTTGCTGTGACATTTTTAATTTAGTCACTATTATTTTTAATATTTGTGATAAATTAAAAATTTGTTACAAATAATATATATTGACAAATTTTATATTTGTCATTTAATTTTTATCACTAAAAGATATATTTTTGTGTATTATTTACCTTTGAAGCAACATAATCGATTCAAAGTACAGGCAAATTAACATATTAAATGATTGAAATAAATTGTAAAGATAAAAAATTGACTCAAGTTGTGATTTTTTTTTTAACTTGAATCGCAATTTCGTTGATGGGAACGCAGAGGAGTGAACACGCAATGAAAATGCTGACAATGAGGGCATTTATAGATAAATTTCCAATGTCTCGGACGTGGCTAGTTCACCAACAACATTAGGGATGACAATTAAACTCGTACCCGTGGAGACCGACCCGTCCCCGCCCGAGTTTGACGTGAAACCCCGAGTTGACCGGGCGGGTCGGGTTCGGGTTTTCCCGCTTTAAAAGTCGGGCAGGGCGGGGATGGGTAATCCCCACCCCGACCCCGCCCCGACTTTATATTTAAATTTAAATTTTAAAATATTAATATTTTAAAAGTATTTCATTTTCTTTTTCTATTACATATAAGGTTATTTTTTTATATTTCACCAATTTTTATTTTTCTTCTACCCACTTTTTAATTTTTTTTATCTTTCTCAATCTTTTATATCAATTAATTTATTATATTATTCTCTCCCTTATCTTTCAGCTTTTTCACATTTTCTTAGTCTCTCCCATCAATTTGTTTTTTTTTCAATCTTTTCAACCAATTTGATGAACACAAAGTTAATCTTTTTTCTTTATCTTTTTCTAAATATTTTACATCAATCTTAGTAGTAACTAATATTAGTTTATTTATAATTTATATTTATTATGCCATATTTTTTTATCTTATTATGCTTATTTATCATATATCAAATTTTATCTTAATAAAATAATTGCATTTTAAAGGATTAAAAGAAATTAATAATTTAAACTTTTATTACTTCAAACTAATTAAATAAGAATTAACTTATTAAATATTTTCTTATAAACTATATATTGACAACTTAAAAATGAATTAACTTATATGTATAATTAAATATTTGAATACAAGTATTATAATAATAATGTTATAAATATTCAAATATTTGAATACGAGTGTTATAATAATAATAATAATAATGTTATAAATATTATATATATATATATAAATAAAAAATAATTAAATATTTCTTTTACATATATATTTTAATATAAATATAATAAATTAAAATATATATTTAATTAATAATAACTATAAATTATAAATATTTATTTATATATAAAAATACATAGTAAAATTAATTTATTATAAATATAATTATCTTTTTAAAAATAATATAAATTGGGGACTGGGCGGGGCGGAACCGAAACCCAGCGGGGACGGGGATGGGGACTTAATTCCTAACCCTGCGGATCGAGGCGGGACGGGGATGGTTAAAAGTCGGGGCGGGGACGGGAGGCAAAACCCGCCCCGCCCGCCCGTTGCCATGCCTAAACAACATGCACTATTTTATTGTAGAGATAGAATCTCAACATTTGTAATTACACCATGCGATAAAATTGAGACATATCGTGATAATTTGAATAATTTCTCTGCATTTTATTCCAACTTTGGAGATAGATTCAAGTTCCTCTCTTCTTTCCTCTTAAATTTAGGAAAATCAACATATACTATTGATACTCTTAAATCTGTTTTTCAATTTCTTTGAATACAATACATCCGAGAAAGCAATTAAGTGAGTGAACTTAATTTTTCAGTATTACTTCAGTGGTTCAATAGTGTTTTCTTATGTATGTAGTAGGAGTTGAAATTATATATTTTTGCATGGTCATTCTATATAAAAAAAATGATAAATTGATAATTTGGAAAAATAATCATTAGACAATTCAATATAATAATAATAATAATTTATTATTATACTAATAGATATTTACGAATAAGTGCACATTTTATATATTTTACATGTGTTTTTTTAGAGTGACGGATTTTCTTAAGAGCTCGGAAGGTTGTGACCTCTCAAAGTTTTGTAACTCCTATCTAATTTATGATTTTGACTTCCCAAATTTAATTAACATTTAATATATTTAATTATATATTTACAATTTTATTCTTCATTATCTCCTCGGTTTTATAACTCTCATGTAATTTATGATTTTGTCCCCTCAAACTTAATGATGATTTAATACATTTAAGAATATGTTTACAATTTTATCTTTTCACCTTTTCATCTTCTTACTTTATTTTATATTTATTTATTATTTATTAATAATATATTATATTTATTTATTATTTATTAATAATATATTATTTCACCATGTTAATTTTCAAGATCTGCCATCACTTGCGAGAGAACATGTCGTTCAAATATGTCATGTCTGCAACTTAGAATAACTTTTTTAAAATCTTGGTCTGGGCTTTAGTCTGGGCTCTGGGCCCACGATGGATACCCAACTTCCATCTAAGGGATGAATTACACACTCTCCAAGTAATAAATACACATTTACCTTATTTGCCTACATACACGCATTTAAAATTTATCAATTTTTTACTTTTTTTCTAATTTACTCTATTCTTTTTTATTTTTTCTTCAATTATATATATAGTTTTATCATTAACACACTAATAATTTATGATTATAACTATGAAATATGGATAGTATTTAGATAAAAAGTTTTACAAATTTACCAAATTTTAAATGATGAAAATTTGAATGATTTATTTTCAAATAATTCATTTAAATTAATAAATTCATTTTTTAACTTCAAAGTCTTGATTTCATTAATGTAATTTAGTGTTTACTATATGCAATAAAAGTTAAATATATATTTAAAACTTAAAATATAATTGAAAAAGAATAAAATAATATTTAATAATTTAAAAATACAAATATTAACCACTTTGTATCAATATTTATAAAAAGAAAAGGTATAGAAAAGAAAGAAAATATAAAAAGGGAGAATAGGAAGAGAGACAGAGAAGAGAGGGAAGAGAAAAAAAAATTGAGATAAGGAGTAAAAAGAAGACGAAAAAACAAGGGAAAGAATACAAATATATATATATATATATATATATATATATATATATATATATATATATATATATATATATATATATATATATATATAAAGAGATGATAAGAGAAGAGAGAAGAAAAAGAAAGAGAATGAAAAAAAACCCAAGTAGAGAAGGAATTTAAAATTTTAAATAATCAAAATGTTTTTATAAATTTAAACCTTTTCTTAAATTATTTATCTAAACAATATGCTGTTTTATGAACCCATTGGTAGACCTAGAGTGCAAATAATACGATGAAAATGTTTTCCCACTTAACATATTAAGCTTACGTTCGTATATTTTTTTCAAACAATAAAAAATTAAAGCTAAATCAATGATGTATTGAGCAAAATATGTCACTTGTATATTTATATTTCAAGTAAGATAGATGATTTTTTATAGTTTTTTTTATTATTAACTAAAGTATATTTTTTTTAATAAACTAAAGCAAATTTGGTCACTATTTTCTTGACAGATATAAGTCAATCAGTCTCTAAATCATGTACGTAGTTACAAACCTTTTCGTCGTTGACAAAAAATGGGGTTGTCACCAGTAATATGTTGTGATCACAATTTCTATCGCAAAAAGAAACAGGAAACGATAGATCTAAATTTTGGTCTCACAGGTAGTAAGAATTAACAGCTACTAAACAACACACCAAATTTGATCCTGATTGAAGCATAGTTTTTTTAATTGCTAACGGTGAAACACTAATCACACATGATTCTTAGTAAAGTGGTGTATAGATACGTAGATTAAGTTTGGTGTGATTAGCTCAATCATTTCCCCACAAACTTCCAATAATATTATTCTCTATGCTATCCACTCTTCTCTTCCCTTATATATATAATGATATTTTTCTTATATTTTTTCATTAAAAAGATATTTATTATAATAAATAATACCAATTTAAAATCAATTTACAATAAGTAAAATTATTCAATAAATTAAACTTCAAAAATTGATATTGTAAGATTTTCCTTAACAACCTTCCGATAAAAAGATACATACCATTTATAAAAAATTTAAGCCAATTGACATAAAACTTTTCAAGAGTCTCATATCGCCAATTCTTCGGATGTATTATTCTTATTGTTAAAAGGGATGCTTGGAGAGTCCTACAAGTTTATTCAATTCTATGGAACTATGCCTTGTAGGTAACTTCATGTCCATTGGTTAAAATATGACATTTACTTTATAATAAACTATTTATGAGGTAATGTAATGTTATTTTTAGTTATTGATGATTACTTTTAAAAAATTATTGAAATTAAAGTTAAAACTAAAGATAAGTTAAAAACCAAACTTAGTTTAAATGAGCGGATTCTCTATGACAAATTATCTCATAACCTCGTACAAAAACCTAATCTAGAAGCATGAGGAGCAAGGACAACTATATATATAATGTTGACAAATTTTGGGTCATGTATATATATGATACATAATTTAAATGTGTTAGGGCTATTATTTATTAAGCCAAATAATAAAGTGATCGGACTAAATTAAAGTTTTGGCAAAAGACATATGTTATGAAAATAAAATTGTGTAGATACCATAGAGCAATTTCTAATTTGATGAGGGACCAAATTAGAAAAACTAAAACTTAAGTAATTAACCTAATTCTGGTTATTTAAAGGGTCATGGTCCCCTTTTGGGAGCACACACAGAACGTAAGTATCAGTCCCGTTCCTTTCTTTCTATCCTCATCAAGAGAGAAAATCAAGAGGGAAATACAGGTGCTCTTCAGGTGGAAGACCATAAGATCAATATAGTGCTCTAAAAAGACATCATCATTATGGCTAATTCATGTACGCTTTCACATTCAGTTTACAACATGTTTATCAGTATGAGATTACGTTTATGTTTGATCGTTAGAATCAAAATTATGATTATTATTATTATAATTATTAGTTTTCCAACAATTGGTATCAGATCCGCCTATACTTGATTCATGTCTCGTTTAATTTATAAAACCCTAATTATGAAAATTAGGATTAATTTTGTTTTAAACAATTCAAATGACCCAATTTTATGAACCCTAAGTGGAGAATAATCTCTAATTTTCATGAACCCTAAAATTTAATTTTAGGGGTAACATCTCCAATCTGATTCGCTTGCTGATGGAGCAGTGGAGGAAGTTATGGATTCTTCTTCTTCTTCATTTTTTCCCTTTTGTTCCAGTTTAAGTTTCAAGTTTTACTAAGAAAGAAATAATGTTTCAAGTTTCAATCTTTCTTGTATTGGATTCTCTGTTCTCTTTGAATCTTTTGTTTTTGTTTTTATTTAATTTTCTAGGTTTTGTTTTCGTTCTTTTCATGGTAGATATGGGTGAGTTTGGAATTGGGGGTGGTGTTTGGGGAATTCCCAACATAGAGGATCTTAGGCAAATGGTGAATGTTTCCACAGGTGTGACTATTCTTATTTTTAGGAAAATTTGATGTTAAATTCCCTGTTTAAGGATTGAGTGATTACTGTTTAATCCCCTTTTAGGGTTTAGAGCAGTGTGTTAAAGAGACTCAGAACTATCTCTATTTCATCCCTAGTGTGATTTTAGGGAGATGTTCATCCTTTATGCATTGGTGGAAAAAGAGGTGCTTTCATCCTTTGATTTGTTCAAAGGAGGTGTTCATCTCTAATGGGATTCTAGGGAGATGTTCATCCTTAATGGAATTCTGATGAAGTGATTATCTTTTGAATTAGTTTGCAAATATTAAATATTTGGTTTTGTTATATAAATAAAATATTTAATTTTTGGTAGTTTAATATTTTTTGTGAGCAAATTGAGTCAAGAAGTCACCAAAGTAACCTCTCTTGAATTGGGCAGTTCATGAAAAATATTAAATGTTAGTGTTTGTGTATATTCATGCGAGTATTAGTAGACCCAAAGGAAGATTAATATTTGGCCGAATTGCATACACACTTGTAATGATAAACATGTGATAATTATAAGGATTTGCTTTGTCGATGATAAATCAATCCAAAGACTGGTTTGTTGTTGGACGTGCTTTATTGTCAATGTTTGATTATTACAACAAGATACCTCTAGGAGTTAATATTACTGTCCAAAGACTTGATATTGATGGTGCATTGAGTGTCTTGAGATGGGTTAAACTATTATTTGAATATTTATATATATATTTTTTATAACATGAGTATAATTAATTTATTTCTCTTATTCTTAATTTAGCTATAATTGTTTCTGTATCTGCCAATTTAAATTCTGTTACGACCCTCAAAAGTATGTTTCTTACTTTGGTCTGTTCTGAAGTCAATTTAGCGTCAGTACCTAGTAACACTTGGTGGTTAGACTCAGGTGCAATTATTAACATCAGTGTTTCTATGAAAGGTTGCATAAGCTACCGAAAGCCAATTGATTATGAAAGATGAATATATGTTGGAGATGTAAAATCGGTAGAGGTGGAAGCTATAGGGCATTTTAAATTGTTATTGAGTACTAGTTTTTATTTGGATTTGAAAGACATTTTTGTTGTGCCATCATTTAGACGAAATTTGGTTTCAGTTTCTTATTTGGACAAATTAGGTTATTTGTATTCATTTGGAAACAATAAGTTCAGTTTGTCTTTTAATTCAGATATTATTGGAACTAGTTCACTTTTGCCTTATGATAATATGTATTTACTTGATACTATGATCACCTATAATGAAACCCTTAATACAGAATCACGGG